ATAGATAGATAGATAGATAGATAGATAGATAGATAGATAGACAGAGATGATATAGATATAGATATAGATATATATTTGGAAATGTCAGGGATAATCTCTCTTCCACCGAAACAAACCTATTTACTTATCTCACTCTGGAAGTTCCTAGACCTCATGATCATAGCAAGGGGAGTGTGTCTCTCTTGCACAACCACACTTTCACACACCAGCCATTTCATTGCAATGCAAACAGACTTCTGAAGCTACTTGGAAACAGTGAAGTGAAACAACATTCTTGCCCTACTTGTTTCTTTAAATAATGCATGGGAGTGAAACCTACATCCCAGGAAAACTACACACCCAGAGTGAAGGCTTGCACTCCAGGGCAGAGGGGCATGGATTAACACAAAGGCAATGTCAGATTCCCCCGCTCAGCCATGCAAACCCGCTGGGTGACCTTGAGTGAGTCACACACTCTCAGCCCCAGAAAAATAGCCATGATTAGGATTTAGGATTGCCATACGTCAGAAACAACTTGAAGGCACACAATAAAATGCCAGGGTCGTCGGAGATAAATAGGGATGCTACATTTATTAGAAAGGCAAAAGGTGTACATCGGAGAGCAGTGGGGTCTCCTTCTTTGGAGGTCTTTAAACAGCCATCTGCGCTTTGATTGTGAGTTCCTGCATGGCAGGGGGGTTGGATTGGTTGACCCTTGGGGGTCTCTTCCAACTCTATGATTCATATTTGGTTGACAGCGAAGGTTTCCCTGCTTTCCAGGGAATTATTGCCCCCATGCCATAATTCTACCCTCTCCCATTAAATTTCCCTAGTTTCCAAATTTCTAATATTGCAGTAACTTAAAACTTCTGTTGAGCATTTAGAAAATGCAGTTTACGGCTGCTACCACGCTACAGAAATAAAGCAGTTTGATACTGCTTTAACAGCCACGGCTCAGTGCTATGGAGCTCTGGGATTTGTAGTTTTGTGAGATATTTAGCCTTCCCTGTCAAGACAGCTCCGGCATCCCACCAAACTACAAATCTCACAATTCCATAGCATTGAAGCGATGGAAGTTAAAGCAGTGTCACACTGCATTGTTTCTGTAGTGTGGCAGCAACCTTAACCTCGATTTTCTTAAATGGTCAACTGAAGCTTTAAATGACTGCAATACTAGAAATTTGTAAACTGTAGGAATTTATGTGTTTGGCATCAGGCTGTCCAGCTGAATGACCCTGCGTTTGCAATGGAAAAAAAATAACCCAAAAGTAGATCCCATGTGCTGACCGCACAGTCTAAAATAATATATATAAGTAACACATATAAGTGTGCTCATGTGCACAAACACACATATTAAACCCAAGGCTGGTTATGTGTATGTATGTATGTATATATGTATGTATCATCTATCTATACACACACACATATATATGAATGGGGCCAGCATGGTATAGTGAATCCCGACTCGGCTATGGAAACCCACTGGATGACTTTGGGCAAGTCACACTCTCTCAGCCTGTGGAAGGCTAGGGTTTGCAGTTGTTACTGGCCAAGAAAGTTACATCAAAGTCCATAACTTTTCATAACGTCTCAAAACCCTGTTAGCAATGTTTTTCTAACTTTACAAAACCCAGCCAGTGTGGTGTAGTGGTTTAAGTGCTGGAGACCAGGATTCGATTTTCAGCTTGACTACGGAACCCACTGGGTGACCCTGGACAAGTCACACTCTCTCAGCCTAAGAAGAAGGCAATGGCAAACCTTCTCTGAACAAATCTTGCCAAGAAAACTTTGTGATAAGTCGGAAACAAGTTGAAGGCACGCAACAACAAATACACATGCACACACACATGTGTATGTATGTAGCTCACCTTTGCAAGATGATGTGTCCATGGCAGGTAATGTAAACATATGCAGAGATCCCTGTTGTCGTGTGCCTTCAAGTCGTTTCAGACTTACAGGGACCCTAAGGTGACCCTATCACAGAGTTTACTGAGGGCTGAGATTGTGTGACTTCCCACAGTACTCTAACTGGGTTTTGGAAAAGGGCAAAAACATATTCTCAATGAAATATTTTGTTCTTCTTGTTGTCATTTTACATAATTATGTGAGATATATAACACGGGTAGAATCCAAGATGCCTCTCTCTCCATTTTAGGAAGAAAAAAAAAGTGAATTGCATAGCTTTTTTGCACTAAAGGTTGGGGGAAATCAAATACTATGGGAGAGAAAAAGAGATTACGAGAAAGCAAAGACACAAGAGAAAAAAAAAATGAAATGAATGAAAGAGAGAGGGAAGAGTCCTGGCATGGAAGGATCTGTGTAATAACTTTTAGATAACTGGAATTCTCTCATTATATACATTAAGTCTTAGAGCAGAGATGTGGAACATCTGGGCCTTCAGATGTTTTGGATTACAACCCCAACATTCCCTTACCACAATGGATGGGGCTGCTGGGAGTTGCAGTATATGAAGGTCCCACTGTT